TTAGCACAAGATTTATTCATTAAGAACACATTTTATATTCAAAATTATTGTTTCTAATTATAATTGCTAATGGAAAACAACTACAGCATAGATACATAAAAAAAACCCACATTGTAATTCTTAGCATTCACTTCCTTTCCATAATCACTCATAGAAGTTTAAAGTAATGGAAACATTGACCATTTTTAAGAATTCATCCCTTCTTCTTATCCCATGTCAGTAAATAGATGATGTAGCTAGCATTGAGCAAGCCAAGAGCAAGTAGGTTAGTGGATATAACAATGGGTTCTAAATAATCCTCAAACTGATTTACAGAAGAATATTCCAAGCATAAATGAATATATAATAAAAAATTGAAAAGAGTTAATTTTTACTCTATAATGTCTAAAGCTTTAACCAGTTAAAAATTTTAAATTTATATTCCTGATAACTATTTTATGAAAGTAGAGGAGAAAACATTTAATGTTACAGATGTCACTGACATACATCTACATAAGAAACTGGCAATATCATTTGATTCGTTATACACAAAATAAAATTAAGGGGGATAAAAATCCCCTTACTCACCATTTCTTTTTACCCATTTAACAGTCATTATCATGTATTGCTTCATATCATTTTAATGTACTTTATTTCTTCCTTAATGGATTACAATATTTTTTAAGTTATGGGCCATGCTTTATTAACTTTCTAATTTATAGAGTCAAACACACTACTTGGAATGAAGAGATGTTTAAAAATATTTGTTGAATCACTGGAAAAACTTAAATAGTCTTATATAGCTTATTTATTGTTACCATTGCTGCTCATTACTAACGTGTTCTTTTCTTTAGTATGTATGTATGAGAGCATGTGGTGTAGGAGAAGAGGAAAAATATTACATGTCAAAGACAATCTTTAAATGTCGTGGCCAAATTTGCTCCCAAGAACATGTGATTTAGCAGGAAGCAGTGCTAGAGAGAGCTCTTTTTACTTGTGAGCACTTAAAATCTACAGAGCACCTATTAATTCACAGGACTATAATGCAATGTCATTTCATAACAGTGTGTAAGTCAGTATACAAAATTAGACTGACAAATTTCCATATTGAGAGACGTAGAGAGAATTTTGATTTCTTAGAAACATCAGAAAAGAGTAAATTCAGCAAGAACGGCTATAAAATTCAAGATCCATAAGTATAACTGAGGTTGGATCAGTGGGAAAGCTCAGTTTGATACCTGAGAGTGATTTGCAGCCATTTGGGTTATCAGGTTGTACTTCATACCCTTCTGTACAGATGCACTTGTAAGTCCCATATGTGTTGATGCATTGCTGGCTACAGGGGAAACCTGAAGAGCATTCATCAATGTCTACACATGTTTTACCATCATCCTTCAGTTGGAATCCAGGCCAGCATTTGCACTGAGGACAGAAAAATGATCATAATCAATTCATATCATTTTTATGGTCTTTTACTATTAGATCCCTTTAGCATGACTCAAGCAAGGAAAACATTTAAAAAATAGATAAAGACAGCAATTATGCTTTAATAAGAATTACATATATTTCATAAAGTTAAAGTTTAAAAAGCACTCTCTCAAGTATTTCATTTGATCTTCTGAGGTTGGCAAGATTGCAAAAGTTAGTTGACATCAGTTAAGCCAGGTGGCTAGAGAATAGCAAAGCAAAAACAGAGCCAAATTTTCAAATTCCTTTATTCTTTTTTTTATTTCATTATTTTGTCTTTTTACAAGATTTTTTAAAGAGGTGCAGTGTGGTGTTTCCATATATAATTTGTAATACTCTCATCAAATTGGTTAATGTAATCTTCATGTTATTTTCTTAGTTATTGAGTTAAGACATTCATACTCTGCTTTTAGAAAGATTCACTTGTACCCTTGTAAGATAAACCATGGAGGTGACCCCACCAA